CTCAAAGCATCACAACTCTGACCCAGTGTAAGGGAGTTTCCCAGGGGTGTGAGAGGCAACATCTTTTATTTTACAAAGATGAAAGGAGAGAGAAGTGAGCAGAGAAAGAGGAATGTACTACCACTGAGAAAGAAAAGTCCGGAGTAGAGTGCATCCATTGGACTTGGGGGCCCTGCACTGTGAAGCTTTTAGATTGATGCAAGACACCTGGGAATCTCTATGGAATGCTGGACCAAGAGATGCTGACAAGAGACAAAAACCCTGCTTAGAGCTGCCACTCTGAATTCGGACTTCTAGCCTCAGACCGCTAACCATAAGGTCAGTGGTTCAAACCCATCAGCCGCTTCTGGGAAACCTTATGTGGGGTTACTCAGGGTCACTATGAGTCAGAAGTTAACAACAGCACTTAACAACAACAACAAAACTGTGAGAGAATACACCTCTGTTTCTTAAAGTCATCCACTTGTGGTATTTCTGCTATAGCATCATTAGATAACTAAGAGAGAGCATTTTTACATTGTCCTAACAATAATCTGTGGACTCCTGGTGAAGTGCTGAAGCATCAGCAGTGGACTGCGAACCCTAAGGTCAGCAGTTCAAACCCACAATCTGCTCCTTGAAAACCCTATATAGGGTTGCTATGAGTCAGAACCGACTCAACAGCACTTAACATAAACAATAATCTGTGGTATCCTGGACATTTTGACTATCTCCAGTTCTCTCAGTAACACATTGAAAAACCATCTCTGAACTTGAAAATCACCTGACTTAACCATTTAAAATTTTTACATTGATTTTTGTTGTTTCTGTCTTAAAGGATGGTATTTGATAGACTTATCTTTATGCTGGGATGCTCTGACTGTGGTATACACCAACCATCCTTAATGCTTTCAGAGAAAAATTGGATTTAACATTTTGTGTTAGGTGCCTAAGTAGAGAAACAACTTAGAAATGCCCTTTGTGTGGATTTTTAAAAAATCTCATGGTAAGGGATGATAGGGATGAACAACTTAGACTTTGACTATCAAAATTGGGATATAAAGACATGAAGTTACTGGCTTACATGCTTTCATGAGGGTGTTTAGGGTCAGAACAAGGCGAGTAAGTCAGAAAGCTCCACAGAACAGTTTTCCTCTTGTCCAGATGGATCTGGTGATGATGGGGATAGGATTTTATGATCCAATAGTGAGTAATTGTTATCAGGACTAATGACGATTATTGCAACTGTAAATGTAGAAGAGGGGGGAACAATTACTTTCTCATTTCAGAAACAGAAGACCCTAGAACCATCAAGAGAGAAGAACATGAGAGGAGCAAGGGATCTTAAATAGAAAAGCGATGGTGACAGAGACAATGGCATAGAGAGACAGAGCAGCAGAGGACTAGGTACTGAGAAAGGCAGTGTGCCTGTGGGCAGGAGGGTGACTTGCAAAATGAGCCCATTGGACATTTAAACAAATAATATATTTTCAACGTGGTATGTGTACATAAAAAGGGGGGGGGTATGGGGATAATAGAGGTAAAGGAGTGTGGTGTGGCTCTGTGGGCTAATGCATCAGACTGCAAAGTTGTTTGAACTGCAAGGTCGGTGGTTCAAGCTCACCAGTCACTCCCTGGAAACCCTATATAAGGTTACTATGGGTCAGAATCTACTCGACAGCACTTCACAATTAATAGAGATGAATAATGTTAGTTGATGGTACGATGCATGGAAGGGAGTGGAATCACTGCAATGACTGGTTGAAAGTATAACTGATGACCTGCCCTATAGACCTTCAGTCAATTCACAATAAAAGCTTAAAATAAAACTCATGGTAGCATTCATTTTAGGCCTTGGAATTTATTAATTCACAACTCTACTAATTATATTCATTACAATGATTCATTCTTCAGTAGACTGTCAACTCTTTGAGGATCAGTACCCTGTCTAATGCATCTGTTGTATATCTCATGTACTGATGGGTAGTACAGACTATTCAGTAAAGAATATTCATCAAATGGAGAAATGGAAATCCCCCAGTAGTAAAGCAACAGTTGAAACTGAACCATCAAGCCACAGGCCTCGTTTGTATGAAATGTACTGTGACACTGAGCCCAGTAAAGCTTCTATGTTACCACCACCACTTCCTTAATGATCATGAAAGCACCATAAATGTTCATTGTCAGTCTATGAATCCACAAGTTCTTGTGAGTCACGAGCTCATCACATACTTGCATTTTCACATACATCAGACAATGTACTTTCTCACACAATTCTAAAGTTACAAATATTAGAATAACGGACCTGGTAGAGTCCTCAAACAAAAATACATCATGTAAGAAGTTATATGACAAAGGTGTCATTTCAAATCAGTAGAGAAAAGATAATATATTTAATATATGCTACTGGCATGATTAATTAATCATTAAAATACTATGTTCTTAGCATACCATACACAAAAATAAATTCAAAGTAGATTAAACATGAATATAGGAGTCCTGGTGTGGCGCTGTGGGCTAATTCATCAGACTGCAAAGTCATTTGAACTGTAAGGTCGGTTGTTCAAGCTCACCAGCTGCTCCTCAGAAACTCTATACAGGGTCACTATGGGTCGGAATCTACTTGGCAGCACTTCACAACAACATATTTAGTCTATATAAATACTAGAAAATACATGAAAAAAATTGTTCTTTAATAATGTCAGAAAAATGAGAACAATGGATTTGAACTATTGCCAGGCACTATTACTTCATAGAAAGACAAGAGTAACACACAGTGACTAGCTAGTAAACATGTTGTGAAAAACCCCCAATGAGAGTTAATACATTTTTTTAAAGCTGGGCACAATTTACAATCCACAAAACATTATAAATATTCTAACATTTAACAGAAGTACAGGTGTTGTGCTGTAGGACAAGCACTGGACTACTAACCACAGTTTCGACAGTTGAAACGTACTGGCCACTCCTCAGAAACCTAATAAAGGGTCACTGTAAGTTGGAACCAACTCCAGAGCACTTAGCAACAACATTTAACAGATATCAGGGTCAAAACACATATTTTTAAAAAACTAGGAAAACTGAGGACTAAGGTATGCCTGACCCAAGCCATGGTATTTTCAATAACCTCATATGGATGCGAAAGCTGGACAGTGAATAAGGAAGATCATAGAAGAATTGATGCCTTTGAGTTGTGGTGTTGGAGGAGAATACTAAAATTGTCATGGACTGCCAAAAGAACCAATAGATCTATTTTGGAAGAAGCGCAGCCAGAGTGCTCCTTGGAGGCCAGGATCGCTAAGCTTCGTCTCTCATACTTTGGACATATTGTCAGGAGGGAACAGTCGCTGGAAAAGGATGTCATGCTGGGTAAGATGGAGGGTCAGAGAAAAAAAGAGGAAGACCCCCAACGAGATGGATCGGCCAGGTGGCATCATTGATGGCTTCGAGTGTGGCGGCGGTAGTGAGGTTGGCCCAGGATCAGACATTGTTTCGTTCTGCTGTGCATGGGGTCACTATGAGTCGGTTCCGACTCGATGGCACCTGACAACAAGTAAAGCTGAAAATGTTAAAAATATGTAACTTCTATGCAGAAAAAGGCACAGAAGAACAAAAGACAAAAGATAGGGGAGATGAAATGTGAGCAAACAGGACACAAGATCTCTATCCATAATATAGTAAAATCTATAAAGGAAAAATTGTAATTAGAAAAATAGACAAAAGACATGAGTCAGCATGTGATGACGAAAAGTGCTTCATCTGAAAACTTTTTAGGATATAATTTTTCATGAGATGTTTTCACAAGTCAGAACAGCAAATGTGAGGGTATTGGTAGTTCTTTAGACTGATGAGACTGTGGAAAGCTCAGCCCTCTTAAGCTCTGCTGTCCAATGCTGCAGGACCATAGTCTGTCCAACATTACATGTGCAATAGCCCAGAAATTCAACTCTTAAGAGGTGTTTCTACAGAACTACCTGCACAGGGGAAGGCTGTTTGTAGCAGCATTGTAATACCAATAAATTGAAAACTGTATGTCTCTAACTAATTGGTTAATTATAATATTTCTATACTATCAAATTGAATCCTGATGTGGTGCTGTACTGCAAAGTCGGTTTGAACCACAAGGTTGGCGGTTCAAGCTCATCAGCTGCTCCTTGGAAACCCTAAGCATGGTCACTATGAGTCAGAACCAACTCTACAGCACTTAACAACAACAACATACAATCAAATGGATTCCTGGGGTGGTGCTGTAGGATCAGTACTGGACTGCAAGCCACAGGTCAGCAGTTCAGACCCGCCAATTGCACCTTAGAGACCCTATACAGGGTCACTATGAGTCAAAACTGACTTGTCGGCACTTAACAACATGCTATCAAATACTTCTAAGTAGCCACTGTAAAATGAGGTAGACCAATGCATACTGACGTGGAAAGATGCTCAATAAAGTGATGAAGTGACTTACAAAACATTTTAAGACCCATTGCTGTCTACTCAATTCCAAGTCACTTGTATCACAGTTACAATCCAAAATGATAATCAAGTCCTTAAAACAAACAAACAAAATGTTTGCACAAAGGGCTTCATGTAGGATTAAAGCTGTGTGTTCCCTCCTCAGGGCTCTAAAGAACTTGCAAAGTCAAACAATCACATCCTTGTAGGATTCGATGACATCGCCTCTGCACAAAATACCTAGTCAGATTAAATCAACAAGATGAGGATTATTTCATATAACAATAGGCATTACCTATTACCAACCATGATTTTTCTACATGGAAAGACAGGAACACACACAGCAGCTCATGAATATGTTGTGTAAACAGCCCAAAAGAACTTCTGGTAAGGGGTGGAATACACTTTCAAGAAGGGATCCTAGCACAATACATATCCACACAGAAGTATAAATAGCCTAACATCTGTTGTAAATATTCACATAGGCCCTACTAACAGGATCGGTGTATCAGCTCTGTACCGTCTTCCCTGACCTCTGGAAAAGAAAAAGGACTGATCAGGCCAGCGAGTCCCTAACTAGTCCCATGAAGAGATGTGGCTGGCAGGTACAAAAGATCTACTGCCTCTGTTGGCCCAGGAATTGTGGTGGTTTCTTCATCCACCTCCAGGAATGCAATGGTCTCTTTAGCAGAGGTGGTTTTCTCCTCATGATGGCCTTCCGTACAATCAAGGTTCATACTTCCATGTTTGTTCTTCAGTCTCCTCTTGTATGTCTGGTACGCTAGATATTAAAACATGCAATTATTAGATACCGCATTAACAAAGACTATAATTTTATTATGTAATGGTCCATACTTTGAGGGTTTGAGTCATACATGTATAAACACAGAAGTGAAAACAAAGTATCAAGCTAAAAGTGTGTTACAGTGGCAGAACACAAAAGTTTGGACTGAAAACAGAAGTCAGTAAGTTGAGTTGACCAATTTCCATTAAAGTTCTTCTGAATAGGGGCTTCACCCACCTGCAATAATGATAAATCCAACCACTAGTTGAAAGAGCCCATACATCAATGGGAAGTTAAACATCTGGACCAGTTGTTCAGCATTGAAAGATAATTGGAGCATGGTGATACACATCTGAATATTCTGAGTGCCAGTTTCCAAAGAAATAGTCCTGCACCTAGCATTGAAAATGTTCAAGGGTTATAAAACAGCAATAATCCTAGTGCAAGTTTTCTGTTAAACAGCATATAGCAATAATTGTGTACTTATAAGTCATATATAATTAACTTATTCACGAAGCATTGCTATGCCTACACCTTACTTTGTTGTACTGTACTAGTTTGCATGTTGCTACGATGCTGGAAGCTATGCCACTGGTGTTTCAAATACCAGTAGGGTCACCCATGAAGGAACAGTTTCAGGAAAACTCTGAGACTAAGGAAGAAGAAATAGGTGATCCATTTCTGATTAGTACAGGAAGGTGAGTCCCTCAGGTAGGAAGGTACTCAAAATATGGCTGTGCCCTTCAATACACACAGAGTAGACAGGGATGGGCAAGTTGGACATTTTTGGGAGAGGGGGAGGCTACAAAGGCAAGAAGTGATGATCTTACAAGCTTTCAAGAGGAAGCCTAGATCCAGTGGGTGTGGAGGAAGATAGACTCTCCACTGAGTTGTATCCAATCTGTCTGGGCAGGGCTGATGAAAGGAGATGTGGATAGGTTTCTTGTGATACAATAGTGAATAATCGTTATCAGGACTGATTGTGAGGGTTGGAAATGTAAAGGTAGATGTTTTGTAGCAAAAGGAGGGGAGTGATTGACTGCAGTCTAGGAGCAGTGGTCCCTGGGACCATCAAGGGAGAAGAGCAGAGAACAGAACCCTACCCAGAGAAGCATCACTGCCAGAGATGGAGGCAGAGACGATGACGTGAAGAGATGGAGCAGTTGGGGACTTTAGACCCAGAAAGGGAATGGGGCTGTGTGCTGACGACCGGGG